TGGTTTCGAGAAACGGCCCCCTGGTGTTGGATTTCTGAATGACTCGCAAGCTGTGCATGTCTCACAGTGGTCCATAACATCCCGATGCATGAATGGCCAGTACATATCATTCTCAGCTCTGGAAAGTGTTCTCTGTGCACTGAAATGGCCAGAAGTAGGGTGACTGCGGAGCCCTTCTTCACGTACCAAACTTTGAGGGATAACTGCTTGGTACAAAGTGGTTGACTTCCGTCTGTCTGTCTTTGTGCGATAGAGGATGCCATCTTGTGTGGTAAACCGACTCAATTGCCATAAGAAGCGTCATATTCTTGGTGACAGCAGACAAATTTCTTTGGGACTGAAATTTGACGTTTTTCTCCACCATGTGTTTGATGGCCTGTATATCCTCATCTTGTTGTTGGTGATGGAGAATCTTGGGTAGTAGACCCTCATTAGCAATGTCTGACATTGAAGTAAGAAGGGATGGTATATTGACAGAACTTGCTGAGTTCGAGGATTCTGGCTCACGTCTTGTTGACTTGGTTTGTGTACTAATGGAACTTGTAGGTCCAGTGGCAATCAGGGAGCACAGATGCGGAGATATCGAAGAAGGGAGATCTGTGAGTCACCATCTGAAGGCGATGCATGACTGGACAGTGCATCTGCGCAGAGATGCCAACCTTCTTCAACAAAAAAAAGTATTCTTAAGAGCAAAAAACAGTATTTTTGGACAAAAAACAGTATTTTTGAAAAAATCTCTCAACTTAACATATCGCCCAATCGAGGAGCTTAAAAAACCAGGCAGTACCACGTATACGTACCAGGATCGGAGCGCGACGTGCATACATTACACGTGGGTTGTTCGCAATGTGCGCAGTTTGGGGCCCGTATCACCATCCTGCGTGCATCGTTTAAGATGTAGGTGCATAATACACTTACGTCACAAAGCCCATGATCAGAAATTAAGAAAAACATCACTAGAAAGAAAAAAAACATCACTAAAAAAAATTTGAAAAATAAAAAAATAAAAAAAAATAAAAAAAACATAACAAAACATACAAAAAACGTACTGCCATATTTATAGCGAAAAAACGGAACAAATACAGCAAAAACGGAACAGTTGGCATCTCTGTCTGCATTAGTGTGAGATCTGCCACGGCGATGTATGATCGAAAATGAGTATGAGTGCAGTTCCATCATCCAGCGAGCTCTTCTTCCGGTTGTGCCATCTTGGATGGGAAGTTTCTTGTTTCTTGTTTATTGTACCTCTAGCATGCTGTCCATGTGCAGCCTCATACAAAGTATATTCAAATTAAAAATACATTATCAACCAATAGCAAAATAGGGTTTAAGAATAAAACTGAATATTCATAACGAAAAGGAGAAGAGAACCATTGATAAGTAAAAGGTGGAAATATGTAAATGAGAAGAGAACATACCACCTGTTCTAGTTTTAAGAGTTGGTATGTGGTGGAGATGAATGGATGAAATGACTATGCAAATGATGTGAAATGAATATGTATGAAAAGAGACTAGAGAAACAAATAGTAATAGGCCAGTTTCGTAATGTATTCAGAGACCTTTAAATCGCATTACGTAATCGGAGGGTCGGACAAGCAAAGAACTCGCGGTGCGTAGCAGACTACACTTTGCGTGCATACCATACATGACTGTGTTCGCTAGGTGTGATTGTATCATTTGTTTTCGCTATTTTGAGAGAGAGAGAGAAGAAAAAGGAGGCAGTTTCAAACTTGAATAATAAATATCTTTGAGATGTGATTTTGTTCTTCATACATTTGATCTTTAAAATCGCTGAGTCTTAGGCAAGAATAATAGAAAAGCATTGCTGGTACAGAACTAGCGATTCACCTGTTCGGCCAAGTCCCCTGTACAGGCAGCGCACGATACCCCCTCAAAAAGAAGAAAAACGAGGTCGATGATACAAGCGATATTGGCTTGAAAGCCAGTGATGAAACAGAAAGCGAAGCACCAAAATATAACTTAGCTAGCCGTTATCGGTAATTTCCATTCAATTTTGCATTTACCTTAGCTTGAATCTGAGTACAAATTAGGACGTAGAAATGAAAGAAGTGATGAACTATTTTCCACTCGTTCGCACACACAGTCACCTCTGCTTGCAGAAGTGTGCGCGCGTACCACGTGTTCGTGTTCGTGTAGGCGCGATTCACATTTTCAAAATGAAAACAATTTTACGGATTAAAAAATGTTTGTGAAACGCCTCGATACGGACTATATTTCAAGGCGGACGAGAAACGGCTAACGAGAAGCAAGCACTGACCGCAGAATCAATATTATTAACAAAAGCAACGAGAAATAATGACAATAAAGGTAATAATATAATATATAAGGTCTTTGTTAATAAAATAATATTTATAAAATAATATCGTCCGATGACAGAGAGCTAGAATAAGAATGATGAATAATGATAAACAAATAATTTTGAACGGAAAAAATGAAGAAAAACAATGAACAAGGAAAAAGAATGATAGAGCAATGGAAAAAGGGAATAATAAAAGTAATAAAAAAAAACCTTATGATGGCAAGGAAGAAGAATCAGGATGATGAATAATTTTATTGTTTAGAATAAGATTAGGAATTAAGTTTGATTTTCATAAAATAAAAGTTAATAGTCTAGTATTAGACTACAATTATGCCGGACCTTCGTTATTCAACTTCAAGAAGCAATTATTATTATTTAAAAAAAAACATTTAAAAATAAAACTGTTATTACATTTTCTATTAGATCTAGTCTAGACTTCTACTTTTTATTTGTTTATTATTTATATATTTTTTCTTTTTGTTCAAGTTGGTATGTTCTGTCTTTTTGCGTCCGTTTGACCTGTATAATCTAGTCACAAGTCGCTATCATAAGCTGCCGAGAGCTAACTAGAGGGAGGATTGTACTCGAGCTTCTCCAGGCCACATAATCTATGGCCATCGGGAAATATCAATCGAAAGTCTTCAAAACTCTTAAAAGCCTTCAGTTTTCGACGATCATAAATGCATGGTCCGCCACATTCTCTACTAGATAATTGAATACGTCATAGGTCCCAAAGTCAGGAATATCGTCAACTAGTTCACTTAACGAAAATCCTGCCCGTTGTAATTTCCCCATACAGTCACGTCTACCGAGTGACACAGACCCCGTAGGTCAGGGGCTACGGGCAGGCTAGTCCGCTACTGCGGACGCTAATTTAACGAGTCTTTTCTCGGGTGTATACCGTAGTCGAAACTCCTCTTTTTCTTAGAAAATATTGCAGCTGCCTGAAACTCAGCTTGATGAATGGCAAGTTGGAAGACATTTCCGGCCAAAACAGAAATTCATATATATACACGCAGTTTTGATAGAAAGATATGAATGCAATTTAATGCCAAGAACCGACAGTCTAATACACAATGCACAGATTCAAAATGGTGATTTGACAAAGCTTGTCGGGCTTGGTTACAGTAACCGCGCATTACGTAACCGCCGAAACTGGCCTATTGTGACAAATACAAGTAGGGAATGAGTCTAATTTGATCTCTTACAGAGGCATGATGGAGTATCTCTGCAAGAATAGCTGTGCCTACTGCCATGTCATTTGACATTTGGAATCTAAAAAAAACTGAACTAAAAAACTAAGCAAACAAAAAGTATCAGAAACTGTAGAATCAGCAATATCCTACATTTTCCACTTTAAAAAAGAAATCACCCTTTCTAATTCTAATAATATATCTCTCTGCAATTCATCATAATTTAGGTCCACTAAACATGAATCACATATGGTCTACGCACAGCAGCGTTTTTCAACGTTTTTTTTTACGTCACAGCACCCATACCATATAAGAATGAAAAAGTTTTGCATCACCCTAATCCCAAATTCATCACAGACTGATTAACATCACAAGTTCAGCACTCATCACAAAAAATAAGATCGACTTTAAAAATAAAGACCAGTTATGGTCATGCGATTGCATAATTGTGAAAGAAACGTTGTGGAATCAATCAGAAAAGGTTGATCATGTAGCATATAAGTATTGGTGTGTACTGCAAGGTTCTGGAATCATCAAAAAGATAAGAAATTTGGCCCAGTTTTGGTAAAGTTACAAGCACTGATGTACAAAGAAAGATGTATATGGGACTACGCGACACATGCCTGACACATGCGCGATATCTATCCGGTCCAAATAGATATACCTTACCAAATATAGATAGGCGGTTTCTCGTCAAATGCTTCCATTTCATATTTTGAGAGGGGGGCGTTTCCAAAACTGGTCTTTGCCTTTAAGTTGGACTTAACTATGACAGGCCATTCATGCCACTAGTTGCTATTTTAGTATTGGTCTCTCAATTATGATCTTTATGTGACGATTTATACATCCCTTCAGAAAACAATGCCGCTCTATTTGCAGCAGATACAAGAAAACTCACAAGGATTTTCACTTTTTCAGATCAATACCCCCATAGCTACACAGGAGAGTTATCCGCAGCTAAATCACATTCCACACACCAAACTGCCAATTTGAGATTCTCAGAGACTAATATTAGTGATCTCATATTTCAAACATTCATAATTTCTTAATGTTGGTCCGATTTATTTCAAACTTTCGCCATTCTATTTGGGCGCCTTTGAATGTTTGAAAACAGATAAATGGCGCAATACAAGTGCTGTGGATCATCATCATCTTATTTTTCTGCTTTCAAACAAAATAACTTATTACAACTTAGATCTAGTCTATAGTTTGGATTGCCCTTTGCCTTTGGTTAGCCTCAAGTCAAATAAGTCAAACAAGGTACGATAATACGCCAACGGCGGACTGTACTATACTGGAAGAAGAAGAAGAAGAAGCCTAGACTCTAGGCTACAGTACAAAGCTAGGCTAGAGCCTTAGAGGTTTTAGGTTAAATTAAAGAAGTGTCCGGGGGGGGGGGGAAGGAAATTGGTTTCCTATACCACGATAACGCCAAATGAATACATGTACTTGAACTGATAAACTTGACAAATTACGATATAACTCACATTAAACGGAGTGACTTCAGATGAACGTGCTCTCCCCAACACAACAAGGCACCAGCTGCTAAGGGATTGCACGATCGCGCGCAAGATCGAGAGTCTACAATCTCAATGGGGGAGTCTAGGCCACGCCCCTGTTCGGTGGAGTCATGGTAGAGGTCAGAGTCGACGACTGCCAGCTGCGATCGAGACTCAGACAGCCCTCATTTTCGTCGGCGATCTGTCGGCAAAAAGGGGAGGATCGAGAAAAGGAGGCAGAAGAAGGAGATGGGCCTAGAAGAAGAAAAGAGAAAGGACAGGGAAAGAAAAAGGAAAGGGGAAAATGAGAGAAGGAAATATTGAAACACAAGGCAAGAAAGAGAGAGAGAGAGAGAGAGAGAGAGAGAGAGAGAGAGAGAGAGAGAGAAAAGTTCAAGGAAGAGGGTAAAAATAGAAGGGAAAGGTAAAGAGGAAAGAATTAGAAGAACGATAACGGAAAAGGAAAAAGTAGGAATAAACAGAAAGTATAGCTGCTAACCCCCGCCCCCCCCCCTTAAAAAAAGGGAAAGGAGCAAGGGTGGAAAAGAGCAAGTAAGAAAAAGGAAAATAAAGAAGATATACACTGTCGCTCATAAAGTTGGAATATTTTTGTTTTACCCAAATTTATGGAATTATTTTAAAAATAATTTAAATATAATAGATCTAGATAATAGTATATATTCTCAGATTTTATTGAATAATAATTTGACAATGTGTGTTTTGTGTGACTGCTAAAGCATGTGTATGCTACTATGCTTATCAACTAGGGGACCTGCGCCCTTAAGTCATAAATGACAGTAATGAGGATTAATGCCCCACAAAAGGGCACTGATATAGCACATCGACACGGTTTTGATCCTGGGGCCTCACAGTTACGAGGCCATTGCTTTGTCACTGAACCATGACTGTACGCAGCGGGGGCTAGGGTAGGGGGCAGTTTCCATAAATTAAACAAAAACACAGAAAATGCAATAAATTTTCAATAATTTATTGCATTTTACCCCGGTCCCCAACATAAAAAAATCCTTTATTTTTGGAACCGGGGTAAAATGCAATAAATTATTGAAAATTTATTGCATTTTCTTTTTTAATTTTATTTATGGAAACTTTATGAGCGACAGTGTAGGATGAAAGAAAATTTTTCAATTTGCTTTGAATAATGACTCCAATGGTTCTATCAAGAACATCAAACAATAATTTTGTTCTTCTGTAGCAACGCAAAACTGATTGTACACAAGGCTCTTATTTCGCACTCTAGGCCTATAATTGGAAGGAAAGCCAATGCTCTATATCAAATCAGTTTAGGAAGGTGAAACAAATGATTACTGGAGAACATCTGTATCAAATAAGATCTAAATGGTATTACAGATTTTCTCTAAAGCCCACCAGTCACCTTTTAAGTTTATGCAATAATGAAAATGCTTTCAACACAGGAGGGAAAACATAAATGATATTTTACTGCCAGCAGGGGAAAAAAAAATCAAAGGGAATTCTAGAAAAGAAGAAACAAACAATAACATATAATTGGAAAATCATAGCTTAAGGCTTAAGAGATGCAAGACGTCTTTATATAGGGATTCCGTGAGAGAAATTGATTAAAGATCCCCAAAACTAGAACAAGCCATTGCTTTTTTTCATAATAAGATTGAATACTTAAAAAAAAAAAAAAAAAAAAAAAAAAAAAAAAAAAAAAAGTTCATATCGACCAAAGTCGGATCGCACTCGAAACATAATTGTAGTAGGCTTTATAAAGGGACACATCGAATTTTGAAATGGTCTTACTACATCGTGAAACTATATGGAGGGAAGGGATCTGTGGGCATAGATTAGGGTGCAACGTGTTGTCGGAAAATTTGCTCTCTAGATTACTCACGCCTACCCCAACCCACTCCTATACTGCCACCCCCTGACCTCCATTGCACCACCACCACCACCACCACCACCACCACCACCACCACCACCACCACCACCACCCCCACTTACTCCAAATATACAACTTCCGATGAGTACTTCTGTTGTGCTATGTAAACACTGTTGCCTATAAAGGTAGGTTTTTTTTTTTAAATCTCGAGTCATGTAATGATTGATAGAATATTGTTTAAATAAGGTTTATATCTTCTCTGAACTTTATTGATCAATCTCTATACCTCTATAGATTAATCAATAAGTTCTGAGAAGATATAAACTAAGGTAACACTAACTGTCAGTCGTTCGCTTTCGTTTGAATTTGAATCATTATCATGATCATTGTTCAATTTGATTTTAAGGTAATTAAGCTAACAGTTAACATCAGGCAATCGATATCCAATTAAAGAGCATTCGAAAATTTACAGTGGGAGATTCGGATCGCGAGCCGTAGTGAATTCAAGTTCATTAATACATTTGATAGGAAAGCATATTCAGCAATGGTTAAAGGAATACACTGCTTCTTTCCAATATCGAATGAAATTGCATAAGTTATACAAACCGGGGGCGGGGGGGGGGGGGGGTGTTGTTGTTTGGTAGCTTGTTGGCGCTATCCATCGATATGTCGATGATTTTCGACATGCAGGCTTGGTGTGAGAGGGCGTTTTGCGCTCTCTCTCTCTCTCTTCTGCAGCTCTATACTTACGGTGTGTGAGATAAAGACTTGCCTTGACCTTTGTTTTTGGCGTATAGTGCAAGGTTATGGATGGTTATATTAGTTTGTGCTCTTTACTCATTATTTGTTAGTTATTTAATATTAAAAGTGGTTGGAACTAATATTTTTGAAGTTTGGGTGTCAATTTATAGAGTTAATGATAAATAAGATGTCTCATATTTAAATAGTATGCGCATTTAATCGGCTGCCATATTTTATTTAATTCAGACTTCGTATATACATTATTTCCTCTCACTCTTACTTTGTTACTTTTATGCCTTAAGGGCATAACTTGTACAAAAATAATAACGACACAAACATGCTTTGATAAATTGTTTTTCTTTTTCTTTTCCTTTACATTTCTTTATATCTTCCAGAACCTTTTAATAAAGGCTAACATGATTGAGCAGTTTTCTTTTTTTCCGAGTACTAGTTTTTTTAGGTTAGGATTCGTCACATTGTGTTTTGAGTCTGTGACACATACGATTCTGTCTTTCATATTTAGGGCATGATAACATTAAATGTTCAATAGTTTCGAAAATATGACAATTATTGTCACAAAGGTCAGTATTATGCCTTTTTATTGAGTAATTGTAATAATTAAGTATACACTTACCAAAACGGAAATTCTGTCATACTTCCGACAAAAACCTTTTATCATACCCGTGTATTTTAAATATCGTTGTTTGTTATAAATTATCTGCCTTTCTCGGTAGTTTCCCACAATTCCTCTATGCAGTTGTATAAAATCATTCATTTCATTTAAAAATTCTTGTCTGTTTATTGACAAAAATGTCTATATTGTTTTTTGAAGCCATTTGTTTTAATAGTTAGAGCATATGCATCCTCAATGCCTGCTAGGCAACAATGTGCTGGAACCCATTCAAAATTTACTTCTATTCCAAATAGATTAATTGCCATTAATTTTTCATATATCTCGACTATCATACTGCTTTCATGGAAATTTCTAATGGCTTCTAGAGCCGAGTTAGAATCAGTTAAAACTACTACAGCTATTTGGTGATGCGTGCTACCCATTTAATTAGGATCGCTGCTAGTTCAGCCCTCATGATATTAACTTTACAAATTTTGTACTTATGTCTTATTTTTAGTTTCGGGATATGAAGCTAAACCTGCATGTACTTCCATTTTTTTAGCCTGGAAGCATCTGTATGGATTTTAAGAAAATGTAATAATTTCGTTGTCATATATTCTTGATTCTTGATTCTGCTGGAGACGAATATCTCTTACTTATATGGGGAGGGGGGGGGGGGGGGGGGGGGAGGTATCATTAATATCAACAGTTTTCCCGGTATATTGCACATTATTATATACCACAATTTTGCATATACATGCATTTTTTTCAGGCTCCCCACCCCGAAACACACACACAAAACTCAAACCATGTCAAGAGCTGTGGAGCCTGATAATGATATTTCAGTCACTGTTTCTTTTATAGACCTTTCAAAGGCATGTGATTGTTTAAACCATGAAATATTATTAGACAAATAGTATATCATGGCATCAGATGCAGATCCTCTTTTGGTTTAAATTAATGACCAAGAGAAAAAAAAATCACAGTAAATGAAAATAATCAATATCAAATGCAAAATATTTCATGTGGAATTCCACAAGGGTCGATTTAGGGCCCCTCTTATTGTAGCGAAAATATGAATTTGTTAACACTGGCAGGAAATATATGACAGCTGATTTGCATATTATGCAAATTTATAATAGACTTTAGAGGAATACTCCTAAGATCACAGCAGTGGAACAATTCTTTCGCATTTTTTTTTTATTTACCCCCTAAAATATGCTTTTTTGACTGGGCTTTCAAGTCTCAGACATGATAAGGTATTGTACGTAGATGTACATTTCGAGATGCCTTTTTTTTTCATTTTTCATTTGTTCTGTTAAAAAAGACATCGACGCGGTTCATTCAAAAAAAAAAGTTTCTACTGCAATTTCGAGTTTGATTTATTTAAAAATAAGATAGCTAGCTAGCTGCAACAAAAGGATGAATCGTCATTCACACATACCCCAGCCAAACTTTCAGACGAAGAAGAAAGTACGACCAAATATGACGGAAAAACAACCAACTCTCAGGTAACCTTTGTTTGGAGCTGTGGTGTGGGACTATCTCCAGCCCAAGGAGCTCCGCCGCCGCCTTTGCGGCGGCGCTCCCTGGGGTTAGTGTGGGGGACCTGAGCTGAATCAGTCTCAGCTCCCCCGTGGCCTCGGATCGGATTCGGGCTAACCGAAAAGAGCTTCTCTCGATCGCTGGCTCCTCTTTTAGGTGCACAGTAGCCCAAATTTTCTGTCTCTTTCGTTCGTTAAGCCTCTTATTTGGGTAGGGTCGGCTCTAGACCGAATTTTCAGTCTCTTTCGTTCGTTAAAAATTAAGCCTCCTAGGGTCGGCTCTCTCTTAGATCTCTCTTTAGAGACAGAGCCGACGTCGACCCTTAAGAAGCTTAACGAACGAAAGAGACGGAAAATTCGGTCTAGGTCGGCTCCTCTCAAATAGCTTAACGAACGAAAGAGACAGAAAATTTGGGCTAGGTCAGTAGCCGCATAACCAGCAGTAGGGGCACTGGTCCAAGAATGAGGATCGTCCTCATAAACAAGGATATCCTCATAAACGAGGACAAAATGCGTCCTCAAAAATAAGGGTTGTCTGCATTTTTGAGGACGTTTTTTTTCCATCGGCGCTCTAGGGGTTTCATGTTACAGAACGGCCTGCTGGCGATGCCAAAAATGGATTCCCCGGGGGAAAATAACCCTAGTTCACCGTCTACTTTTATGGGTCGTCCGTCTTCCCAAGGATTTATTGCTTATAATGTGAAAGTCTCTGTAGGGTCTACAATGTCAATGTAAAATGCATCAAGAAAATCATTGCAGAATCTGTTTTTTGCATCGCCAATGCACCGATCAAAAATATGAAACGTCAGCAAAAATGCAGACGGTCCTTATTGTTTACGAAGACGATCCTCGTTTATGAAGACGATCCTTATTCTCGGACCAGCGCCCCTACTGATAATGGCAAGGCGATTTTTTTGGGGGGTGCTATTTTGAACCCCCGTAAGTGATGTTTTCCTGGCATCTACGAACATCTACTAATACTGTGTGGGTCTGGACACATAATCAGGATAATGGCGTTTTCTATGCACATCACATTTTTACTTGAAACTCAATATTGTGTTAAAGTTATAACAGAAAATATAATCTTTATTTTATAATTCCACGGGGGCGATTTTTAATTTTACAATCACCCCAATGAGCAACCTGACGGAGGCGATTATGTAGCTCACGGGGGCGAATCGCCCATCGCCCCCGTGTATTTTGAGCGCTGCCCGGGGCAGTATTCTGAACATTGTTGTAAGTTTTGTGTTATCTTTTGTTGTATCTTCCAGAGATAATACAGCGCTAAATATTGTTGTAAGTTGGTATTCTGAAAATCATTTTATCCCTGTGTTATCTCTTGAAGGACCGCCTCTAAGGCTCTATCTTATCTTTGACATGCCTATTTTTATGACCCTACGCTACCAATCAAGATCAATTTTACATACCGGTAAGAATATGATAAGTAGGTCAATCAAGGCAATATAAATACTTTATGCCATATCTGAAGATGCGCCCGCCCAGCGCATACTAACTAATCTTGGGCGTAATTAGTTAATTGAGCGCTTATTATGCGCGTCATCAAATGCGCTGTGGCACGTGGATCATGAAGACAAGTTAGTGGTAGGGTGTCTTAACAATTTTTCAATTTTCCCTTGTTTTTCACCATCATGGTTGGATAATTGAAAAAAACCACTCGGGAGAAAACATTTCAAATTTCAAGGCTCACTGATGTTTCTATCAAAAGATACAGCTCCCCAAAATATAGGCAATATTCATTTAATTTTTGTCCAGATGGACAAAAAAGTGGTACACAGCGAGTTATCCCTTGGGACTAGAGCATGGATATGTATCCCGGTATTCCTTACAGCTGGCCTACTGAAATTGGTAAATCTCTGAGTTACGATGGACACAATGTTTAAATCGCTGTTTTGATCAAGATATTAGTAGAGTTCAGAGTCGAGTCCCTTTGGGGAATATAGAGAAAAACCGGCTCTTTCATATGACAGCTCACTTACATTGTATGGAGTATCACCTTCAGGATCACGAGCAGTATTGGTTTGAATCTCAATTTGGTAATCAAAACATTGACCAATTTTGCATGAGCGCGCAATGCACATTGACTGCATAGGAATGTGTGCAATCTCTATGGCAAGGATTTTAGCACACAAAACCAAGTGCGCGATCAGACACCCTATTAGTGGTTAAGAAACATCACAGAGATGAGAGCATTAAAATTGTCATATCCTAGCATGTAATTTCCTAGAAAGTTCTCATCTGTGATGTCTCCGGTCAACACACAATCTTCTTCTAACTCGTCAATTGGCACAAAGTTGATCTGGCCAAGGAAGATTGCTGCCATTATATCACCACAAAAGATATAACAACCCCCTGCCCCTACCTAATGTAAATATTGTTGTAAATCCAATGCCAGATAAGAGATAACAGATACAAACATTTTCAGAATACCAATTATCTTGTCATACGCAAATGAGGATTAAGCGCCATTTTATTAATAATATGCACAATTACAAGCGCACAACAGTTTGAGCCCAGTTTGAGATGAGAGAAAAGATACAACAAAAGTTACAACAATTTTCAGAATACTATCTTTATCTTATCTTCAAAGATACAACAATAGTAGAGATAACACAGGGTTCAGAATACAGCCCCTGGTCTACCATAGAAAAGTCGCTGAAGATTGAACAGTTTGTAATTGCAGACCAAAGAGAATGGCGACAATTTTCGTGTAGATATTTTTCTAGATATTTTCTCTTTTCTATCATAATATTGACACAAATCGTAGCATATTATGTTTTAAATTAATATTTAAACTGTTACTCTGAGTCATAAATATCTTGCTTTCATACTATTCTAAACTAGAAATAAAATTAGGGTTTCTTTGGATTATATATGAGTTATGGTATGCTCTTACTTCCAAATTATATGCTCGTTGCCAAAGCAACCTTGAGTTTCGTCAATTACCAATTCTTAGATGTTTTTAATAACAAATTGGATGTTAGTAACCTTTGTGCTTCCCCTCTCTCAGATGGAGTTAGTTTCGACCCCCAGGATCCACAGAATAGTTTTCTCTCACACAGTCTTAGTTTCAGTTTTTTGTTATGTAGTAATATTCTGTTTTTAAACTTTCTGTTAAACCACTTTCGATAGATGCAGAAAAACAGGAGAAACAGAGCAAAATGAGTTTGAGGAAAATGGGATCACAAATAAGGAAGTTATGATTTTTTTTTTTTAAAGTATGAAAAAGTATGGAGAGCAATGAAAATCACTACACAAATTGCCAAATTGGTTATCAGTTTGTGACATTGTTGCCTAACTTTTTATCAATTGGTTTATATACAGTACTCTTATCCCATTAATTCCCCTTTTTATCCCCATGCCTTTTCTTAGGTTCTATGATTTGTTTCATATTGCATGCATCTTTTATGAACTTTGACAAATTGATACTATTTTTTTAGTACTGTATTATATTCATAATTATTAATTTTCATATAAATAGTTTTTTAAAATTCACATTTTTCAGGATTTAACAATAAACAAAATATATATTTATAGCGCATCCATACAACTTGGATGCTGGTGTGAAGAAATAAAATTCTTAAGGGGAAAATGGGAAATTTATATTATCAGTATAAAGAAAACAGTGACTAGTGGATATAATGAGGCAATGACATCACAAACTCATGAGTGAGTTGTCAATTTGTCTTGAGATTTTCAGAGTTTTTAATGCCATTAAAAACTCATAACTTTCTTATTAGTTATCCGATTTTGCTCAAACCTTTTTTTGATTGGTTTGTCTGATTGTTCTGCTTCTATTGAAGTACATGTAAGTAATGATTGGAGTGGACTTGCCCTTTAACAGTCTGTGTGCCAATTTTTTTTTCTTTAATAAAAAGCCCAATGTAGTCTTAGTGGAACAACTGAATATCAGAGACTATGATTATTAGACATGTAGGCCCCTTAGAAGAGGCCACAAAGTTTTAAAGTTTTTTCATTTTTTTTGAAGTAATTGTTTGTATATTGGTCCTTGCTCTCTCCTCTCGATCTTGCCCATCTCACTCTCTTTCCATTTCTATGAAGTTAACTCACAGCTGTTCTGCTTTGTACGCTATTTAATTCAGTAGCATCAAATTCTCGTCTTCTCTAGCTGCCAGTGCCTGCCATGGTTTTCACTAGTACATAAATAATGAAACTATGAAAGCATAAATATATAAAATAAATGAATGTATAATTAAATATTTAAGTAAAGCCAAGAACTAAATAGGTGGTATTATGTTAAACAATTGAATAAATAACTGAATGAATAAAAACTTATAAAAGAAATATTAAGAACATATTACAAATGTAATGAGGAATTAATATAAACTTTAAAAATGTATGAATGAATAAAAAAAATGAGTGAACGAATAAGTAATTATCTAAATCAATCAATCAGTCATCTTATTTCTTGTTTGTTCGATCTTATGTTTGATCCTTTGTTTGATCCTATGTTTGACCTAATGTATGTTTGATCTCACTCTCAATTTTATTTTTTATTATAAATGCATGGTTTATTGAATAAAGAACAGATGTATAGTTGTGTGTTTATTATAAGTTTTGGTAAATAATTTTTTAGTCAGACTATGATGCGCTTGGAGACACCCGTATTAAGTGCCTAATAAATATTGTGTATTATTATTATAAATAAAATAAAGTGTCTCTTTAAAGTACATATGCTTATTTTCCCCCTTCATTTACTTTGATAAAGGTGTGTGATGAAAATGTTGATACAGTGTTTACTTTAAAAACAAATAAAGGGTACTGTAAGACTGAAAAGTCACGCAAAATGTTTACATTAAATGTTGCACAGTATGTTCTTTCAAAAAGATACCACCAGCAATGCAATATAAAATGATGAGATGAATAAGTTCATTTATAGAGAGCCAAATTAATGTATGTTCGTTGTTATATCATGCTTTTATAGGTGCCTTGATTTGCATCTGATTATATTTACTTGTGTTGTTTCAGTTATTCTAAGCTGAAAGTTGAGGTTTCTTCGCTCCAAGAAGAGAATAGAGATCTAAAACAGAAGGTGGCAAAACACCAAGCTGCTACCTCTTCATCAAAGGTAAATTTTATTTTACCCCTAAAAACCATTCATAATGTTTTTATTTGATTAGTTGAATAATAGCTGTGTATTGTTTAGTGATTGTAATTAACAGTGTCATTTCACTGAGGTTAATTTTTATGCTAGAAATGTCTACTGCCGTTACTGGTAGTGCAAATGATTTTGATAAATTGTTTTTTTTTTCCCCCACATATTATGCAAGTTATGCTATTAACCACTACGGATAGTATAATTGATCACATTAGATAAAGTATTTGTTAGCAAGTATCCTATTGGCTAAAAAGGTGTCACTTGACACTCAACAAGTTGTTATATGTGGTCGAGTGTAGCACGTACTAGCGCTACAGTGAATTAGACTGCACACCTCTCTCCCTTGTGCGTACACATTGTTTTAGGAAAGGCAGGAGAAATGCCAGTAGACTATTGTCCTGAATAAATCTGAATAAACAATGTTTATTTCGTCAATCTAAGCCAAACAAATCTATTTTATATGTTTTTACATCTCAAACTTTTTTTTTTTTTAAATTCTTGTTTAGGTATATTGATTTTGTTACATTGGATGAGGAAGAGGGTTGTTAGTTTTCACATCTGTATTAGATATATTATATAGAACTTTAATACAGACAGCTGTTTTAGACCTACAGAAGGAAAACAAAGAGCTGAAACAGAGACCGAATGATTAAGATAAACCTGAATAAACAATGGTTATTTTGTCAATCTTAGCCAAACTAATCTATTTATATGTTTTTACATCTTAAACATGTTTTTGTTGTTGTATATTCTTGTTTAAGTTAGTGAAGTATATCGAAACTGTTACATCGGATGAGGAGGGGGGTTGTTGTTGGTTTTCACATCTGTATTTGATTTATTATATCAACCCTTTAATACAGACAGCTGTTTTAGACCTACAGAAGGAGAACAAAGAGCTGAAACTGAGACTGGAGGAAGACGATAAGCAACATAAAGGTGATTCATAGTGTTTGATTGGAGAAAGAATTATGTCTATGATAGTAAGATGTAAAATACCATTACACCATCTTTAGAATCATGTAATATATTATTTTTATATTTTGATTTTGATTTGATTTGATTTTCTTCTGCATTTATATAAGTACACAGGTTTTCGATAACAATAGTAATATAAAATACTAAAAGTTTTTCTGACAGTGAATCATAAATAAACAATTGTTATTTTCAAACAGAATGATAAACTGTCATGAATACTAAATTTCATCAAACATTAGGTCTGAAGCATGGTGTCTTATGGATCTATTATGGGCAATAAGTAATTTAGGGTTGACTAGCTAGATGAAAATTTGAGGGATTACAGGTAGGGTATTGGTAAGAGTGAATGGTTTTATTTATAGTGTAAAAGTTGTGTGCCATCCATGCCAAGAGGGTTACCATCATGCCCAAAGACATTATCAATACGGCAACATATAAAAGGTCGAAATGAAAGAAATCTAGGATCATCCCTTGCCACCTAGATTTCTTTCATTTCAAAACTTTTATATGTTGCCATATTGATAATTCTTTATCTAATGTACTCTCCCTGCTTTATATTTTTATATTTACTATTTTTGTTAGCCTAGAACTGTTAAGATCTACCTCACACCATTTTTTTTCTCTTATAAAATACACATTTTGTCTCTTATAAAATACACATTTTGTCTCTTATAAAATACACATTTTGTCTCTTATAAAATACACCTTTTTTCATCATTGCTTTGTTTTATGGAAGTTTCTCTTTAACTGATAAATTTCACCTGTTGATATTACACTCACTTACTGTGCATGAACTGAAAATCTAGAATTTCTCAATATGCATCTGATATTACCACCTTGATCAAACTGATGGGAACATTTAATAAAGGCATTGAAATTAATGTATTTAATGTTAAGATGACATGAGGGAAAATCAGACCAGGAGTGCTCACCAAGATATTCTACAAATCTAGAAATACTCTTTCAAACATACAAATAAAAAAACCCACACTTTTGTCTAGTACTGTATACAAAGTTGACCTAACTGATGCAGAAACAAGACAAAAGAAAGGCATAATCCCCTTCTAATACATGAAATAATGGTTGCCTGAAACTTCAGATTTTAGAGCAGATTTTCTTTTCTTTTTTACATAGTTGTACTGTAAGGTAATTTTTCTCTTTTTCTTTATAATGCAAAGTATTACTTTCAGTTTATGTGAATTATGTGAAGTCAAAAGAGTTTTCATCAAAATTTACTGGTGTTGGAAACCCAATACTGCCCTCTTATGGTTTTGGTGAGTTGTAAACAGTGTCATCATGCCTATTTTAAGAACCATGTGCCTATTTATTTACTCAGTCACTGCTGATTATAGAAAAAAGAGCCATCTTGTGGCAGAAATGCTGCAATATACTCTTTGATTGATTATCCTGTCAATATCATAGTGCTTGAAATTGCTTTCATAATACATACAATGCTTATGATGAAGTAGTTTGTTACAATGCACTGACTGTGATTGATTATTCATTCAACATTATAATGCTTGCACTTGCCTGTACAATGTACTTGTGGTGACTCACAATTTGAATTGTATATCAATTTTAAGTGCTTTTAAGCTGTTGTTAGAAACATAAAAAAAGACTTTCCTGAAAATGCAATCAGAGCATTACCACTATATACATGTTTATTGCATCTTGTTTTTAATAAAAAAAGATGTTTTTGTATCTTTATTAAAAATGTTCTACAGGAAATGTTCTATTCCTGATATTTTACAATATTCACTGTTACACTCCAAATATTTCATAAGCCTTTAAAGAGGGGGAATTCATTGTATAATTGTGCAATAACTGCCTTAAGTAAATTTAGTTGTTTTTAGTTTCATCCAGTTTGGGTATACAGTAGATTAAAACATTAATTATTTAGATACATATCTTGTATGATACTGTAGTTTCTGAATCAATGCACTTTATATCATGTTTACCCTTCATTTTTTGTTTCATGTCCAGAGTCTGTGAGCCATTGTCAAGAGGAGACTCAAGGTCTTGAATCAAAACTGTGAGTAATTTCAAGCTATTTACACAGGTGCATGATCTATTTATAAATTACTATCATATGTATTATAATGTCCTTTAGAGCTTGCCTGATAATAATTGATTCATGTGGATGCCTGAACCTCAAAGGCATCTGCCTGGACAAGTAAACAAAATACTCAAAATTAATTCAAACTCATAAAAAGTGTCTGTACAATGTGCATTGGGCAGTAACACACATGATACATTTTCAACATTCCTTTTCAGAAAACAATACAACTTGAATTATTACACTGCTTTGATTGATTATTTCATATAAGTTGAACCGCAACAGAAAAAGCACATAGAAGAAGCGCTAGTTCAAAAGGTGTAGTTAAAGACAAAAGAAGTGCACAAAATATTCTGTGAGTGAATCTTGTTTCGACTATATTTTGAAGAAACGAAAGCTCTTGTAAAATAAAAAACAGAAACAAAGATCTCACCAAACCAAAATAAATTACATTTCTTAGATTCACACATGTATTTCAAATCTAAATTGATTATCTTTTAAAGGATTGTGATTGAAACATAATAACCAAGTTATACTAGAGTCCAAGTCCATTATACTCCTGTTCATGCACAAATTGGTCCACTTATTGCTTTTATTGGTAACTTTTTGATCTAAGGTTTTATATGATAGGTCAGATTTAGACAGAAGTGTACCATTCACATTAAATGTAGGAAAGTGAATATCTGTCATTCTAAATGTGAACACATTTGTGAATCTACCTACATGTAGTTACAATGATTTTCAAACGTGAATGAGTAAGAACAGGCTCAACCTGTTGAATTGTCTAAGATAGGGGCGTAGCTAGGTGCAAATACATGGCTTGCTGATGTACATGTACAGAGACCAATCAGAATCCAATAGGATTTTCATACTTCTGAGAGCTGAACCGTGACCTCTGTCTATAGGTTTTCACACTCAAGTAAAGTTCTGTGTCATCACTGTAGTTTATTTAAGTTTTTTTATAAAATCTTTACGTGTGGTTGCAGATTTGTTTGAATAATGCCACCAGAAAAGATTTTTGTTTACTGTGTTACCAAGGAACCCACCTGAGAGGGGTCTGGTATGAGTTTCTATTGTCATTAAAAAGATTCAAAATGAAACGTGACTATCCTGGCGTTGGTTTATTCTTAAACAAGATAGCGTGCTGATTTTTGCCTCTGCCTACTTGCCGCTCTACATGTCCAAAAGCAGTAATTTCCTCAAATATTAAGACCTCTGTGAATTTACGTGCATTATAAATCAAATTTTGGTAAACAAGGGCTAATTTGGTAGAATAAGGTATCTCAATATGTATAAAAAGCCTATTGAGTATGATGATACATACATTTTCAAATATTTCCTGCATAAAACCCTTTTCCCTCCAAAGGAATCGTCCTTTACTTCATTTTGTGAAGGCCAGAAAAGAAAACATAATCAACACATTTATCCATAAATATATATATTTGAAGTCCAATGTACTGTACTATTGCGAAATTTGGTGTACACGGTATGTCTTTGCTCTGTAGAGCAAAGTCATCCAATCATTAGTTTGCAGGTGGCGTCATTCCCAGATCTATACCAACCAATACCATTGATTCATGCACCGGCTGCTAAGCAACACCATGTTTGTTTATTTTTTTTATGTTGAAGACTGTTTCCCCTAGCAACATCATGACGATGCAACCTATGATGCATTGCTGGGGGGATTCATAAGCATATCAGCTATTCATAAGCTTAGACAGTGATTTATCGTAATACCCCCTTGTGTTCTTTTGTATCATCCCACTGGAAAACAGAATCCTAATAAAGGGGGTGCGGTTGGGCATGAGAGTCGTGTGTGGTAAAAGTTTCTTTTTGATATGATTATTAAATATTGATTTATTAGGGAGTAGGTACGTACTTGTACTTAACAACATTTCTAAGATAAATTTCAAACATTTGAAGTTCAAAAAGTTCATTTGCTGATAAGGAGTGTATTAATTTGAGCAGGTGAACAATTTAACAATTTTCATTCCTGTGGTAGTTAAATATTAGAAATGTGGGCACATCTTATTACTACTACACTTCAGATCAGATAATCAGTATGAATCATTATGAATCAGTACATTTGCCTATAGATGATTTCTATTTTAAATAAAAATTATTGTAATTATCCAAAAAAAATTCTATCACTTGTAGATTTTTCTCTCTCTGTAAAAATGTAAAAAGTTTAGTAATAATGTATTTTTTCTTCTTCAATATACATACAAAACCATATCAATGCAGATATCTAAAATAGATAAATGAATGGATAGATAAATAGCCAAACAAAACAGTTAACCAAAGAATGGACTAGGTTTGTGCCAAAATTTGTGCAAACATCTAGCTCCCATTAGCAAATTCACCTTACATGTACATTGGTAAAACAGATAGTATATTGTGTACATTTAATGTGATGTAGATCTAAGACTACATATCACTGTCTATCAAGTTCTTGTTTTTCATGTACATGTACAGTGTGTATATTATTTTATTCGTGTTTTTGATGTAAATATATTCAGGTAACATGATTTCTGATTTCACTATCGTTTGTAATATACAGTTATCGATGTGATATGTAATTAATTAAGTCATATCAAAAAGACATGGGAATTTTTTGACCTGTCAATGACCTGTCTATATAAGAACCTTGCCTGTAGTGGTCACATCATGATTCCATCAAAGAAGAAATTTGTGCAATAAAACATTTCTAGAAACTCCGCCTTGCCAAAGTACCACTATGGCCTGTTCATGTATAGACCAATTTGTCTATGTATTTAAACTGTAATACTGTTGTAAGCATTGAGCTAAGTAGCAGACATGCATTCTATCTCAACAGTAAACATAAAATGCAGTTACACTGGCAAAACAGATTTGATGCGTCAAAAAGTGCCATTAGCCTCATGTTTCATCAGTAATGGGCAATAATTTATTGATTGGTTGCCATTGACAACAAAACAAACATAACAAACCTTTTATGAAAATTATCAATTTTTTAATTCAAGGACATGTTAATGTTTGTTTATACACTCATTTTTACTTGGATCTTTAGTCGTATAGTACCAAAGAGAGCTAGAGTGTACCATACCCCCCCAGACTTTTTTTAGAGCTGGAATCATATACTATCGGCCTACATCAATATTCAAAGCAGTAGTATTAGACGTGGCAAGAAAATCACAAGTTAATTTGAGATATCGAGTGTTAGGTGAATCATCTGCTACACAAGAATCTTGTTTACACGTAAATATGAAATTCTAGAGCAAAAAGTTTTTGGGATATGCTCTTCCATCATTGTTGCATCCAAAATTAATCTATTTGAACCTTATCAGTTTTTTCCAACAACCAAAGAAAGACAAAAGAAATACATTTCTTTCTCAACACCGTCACCAACATTATGTCTACATAGAGGGATTTCCCCAAGTGCTCTTTAAGCACTTTAAAATATGTGTAATTCAAAATCTTTCTCATTCACTTGAAAATGTTCAATACAATTGTACTTTTTAAGAGGAATAAAGCTGATTCTACATAAATTGATTACCATTGTTATATTTCATTGCTTTAGAAAATGTTGCTTACATCTATTTGAAATTGATTGAACCATGAAGTTCTTTCAGATACTTAGTCTTTGTATCGCACTTTAAAATCCAACCAAAGGCATTTAAACAAATAAATATAAATTCATGATTTATTTTAAAGCATTTGTTTTCTCCCCTTTTCTGTCTCTTGTCCTTTTTTCTATATATTTCATTTGTGTGTTTTCTCCTCCCTGTCCTCTTCATTTCCCCCTGTTTATTCCCCTTTTCCCCTCATGTTTCCCCTTTTTTGTGAATTATATATAGTTTTCTTCTTCTTCTCTTTGCAATGATTACTATTCATGTTATTAAATTTCATGCTTTGAAGTCTTATGACGAATTGTTGTGTGAAGCAGTGTAGAGATGCCTTATGTGTCAGGATTAATAATCCAATAAAACCTATTCATACTAATGCCATTTGAATACTAATTCTTTTTATATGTATTATTGAATTGGTCATTTTATTGAGTGTAATTGTAATCAGCATATCAAGTTGAATTCTCTTTTTTAACCTTTCAAGTACCAGCATATTTCTTTACACTGTACAATATCAATATCAAGTTTATATAAAAAAATTAAATAATACATTAGAGTAACATGTATGTGCACTTTATTTCACAATAGAAGTATAGGTACTTCAAAAGAAAAAAGGAAAAAAAAGAAGAAAAGAAAGTGGACACTATTTAAGATTAAGATTTTAAGATTTTAAGATGAGAATTGCAATCTTGTAAAGTCAAATTAAACAATTATAACCATTAAAAAAACAATCGCAAGATACAAAACAGGAGTGGCATGTTGAATGTGCTTGTCAAAGCTATGCAGTCCACAGTTCTACCGTTAATAATACTCTTTCTTATCTCATACTTTTATTTTCATTTTTTGAATAAAAATGTCTTTTGAATTTCTACTTGCTCCATTTTTGCACCTTTCTTAATCAGACCTTCTAATGGTTAAATAAATGTGCCCATCCAAGTGTGAAAGACAAAGTTCAAAACTTGGTTTTAATTGATGGTTTATATGAACATTTTGAGCAAAAAAAGTGTCCACTTTCTTTTTCTTTTTGCTGAGTGTACATGTGATAACTTGAGTAGCACTTGTTGTTCATTAAACGTTCTCTGCTTCCTAACCAGCATTTTCAAAGCAATCTCTGGCATATTTGTTTCCCCGTTGCCATAGAAAGCTAATTTCCGAAATTGAGGTCACAAGCTCTTCTTGGTGAACATTTCTTTTGGTGGTTCCATAGGACAGTTGAGCACTACTGATAGTAGGTAGAAGTTGTCATGACCACCAAATTGTTTTCATTGGCATAAATGAATTAGTTGCTGACTCAGGCATGTCGTCAATACAAAGGCCTCAAAAGTGAGAACCAATCAAATTATATATCTGACTTTATTAATTGCTTTGTGA